TTTCTCTCTCTCTCTCCCTCTCTCTTCCTCTCTCTCTAAAAATCAATAAAGAAAAAAATATTTTTAAGAAAAGACCTTTGTTCTCTAAAGGAATACATACTCATGGTCGCTGACATTTTATATTTTAAGCCACCAGAACCAGAGGCAAATGAACAGCTAAGCTTGTGTTCTTTGATGAAATAAGACGAACTGTTCATTCCCCAGCTTGTGTCTAGAAGCTTATGGGGGTGGGGGGGGGGGTGGATCATGGTCGTGCCAAGGAGGTCTCCTGTTCATTCCACGGTTAGCAATGACTATAACCATTTCTATTTCTCCGTTCAACCTTTGTGGATAGCTCCAGCCTCTGTTTCATGCCATCATCTTTTTGGAAACCTCCCTGCTGTCGCCAAAGCCATGCGTCGAAATGTCCCCACCATGCCCCTTCCAATGAAATAAAATGTCCTTTAAGTGTGTCTCAGAGGCACAGGCTCAGTGTGATTTATTTCCAAACGGTTCCCAAGACTGTGACTGAACACAGCACAGCTACCCACAAAAGCACAAACCTGTGGGCCACTTAGAAAGAAAACCACTCAGAGGCACGGACCTAATACAGCAGAAGACACCCGGTAGCCATTCTGAAAACACGTGTTGAATGTGGTCTAAATGGAAGAATTTATGCCCCTCTGCCTTTCTCGTATCTAAGGGAGAAACTTGCACCCTTGTATGAGACATTTGCAAGCCAAGTTCAAGTTGATTGTCAACAAGTAGACGCATCTTTATGACCCTCTGTGCATCCCTAGTTAGGAGAGAGCTTTAGGCTCAAAGCGTCCCATTGTAAGACCCAATGGATTATAATGGGACTCAAATTGATTTATCAGGACCATAAAATGTATCACGTTGGCGGGTTGTCATGGCTGCTCAAAATATGGTTCAAGGACTGACACCATCTGCATCGCCTGGGAGCTCGTTACAAAGGCAAACTCAGATCCCGCCCCAGACTTCCGGGGGAGGGGCCTGGCCCAGTGAGTGAACACGTCTCTGAGTGGTTCTGATGCGTGCTCCAGTTTAAGAAGCATGATCTACCCATCCTTTCTCCCTTGTCCCCTTAGTGCCAAGGTCCTCAATTTGGAGGAGGGACAGCAATGCTTCCTGATAAATACCACAGCAACTAAAGGTCGATGATGTACATGTGGAAGCAACTGGAAGGGCATGCAGGAGAGCAGTGTCCAGGGAGGCTGGCTCGCCTGGGAGGGGCAGCCCCTTTGCCCCTTGCCCTACCTTCTGCTTCTTGTCTGAACTGTGGATGCAAGGGCCGGTGCTCCAACAGCCATCTCAGACCATGAGGTAACCTCGACAATGGAAACTGCACTAAAATTAAGGAGCCTAAAGGCGGGAGGGAGTCTTGTCCTGTATGCAGTCTTAGCTCCCATCCCTTCTTCCATGTGAAGTTTCCGATAAAGCCGGGTAAGTAAAAACTGATGAACGTCTGCAGAAAAATCAGTCTTTTCCCTCGCCTGGTTTATAAAGACGCAAAACGAGCACAGTCCCTGAGGGGAAAAGATGTTGGAGAGAGCAACCACATCCAGAAAGCCACAGTTGGTGGCAAAGAAGGAAGAATCCCCTTACGAACAAATGTGCACTTTATCGATGATAAGGTTTGTTTTTATTGCCAATTTATTATCCATCTTGCCCACGTAAGTGAAGTGAGGAGGGAGGCAGGAACTGGAACATTTCTTCAATGGATCGCCAGGGCTTGGCGCAGAGATGGGCGTGCGGGAGGGGCTCACTAAGGACTTGAATGAATGAATGAATGTTCACTTTCCTGATCCTTCCACTAATTTTAGGTCAACCATTCGAGTGAGTTTTCCATGGCCTCAGGAAATGGAGGGGAAAGGTGGGTCCCATTGTCCCACTCCCCAAAGACTCTGCGGGAGGTCCTGTAGTAGGATATTAGTGACTGAGGAATTGGTCCAGAATTATAGAGAGAACATCATTAGAAGCCTTGTCACCCACTTCTGGTACTACGGGTCACCTTAGACACATCCTTTACCTTGCATGGTCCCCTATGTAAAATGAGGTTAAAGGAGATGATTTGGGTGCCCCTCCCAGTTGATTCTATCCAGAAGAGATTTCAGAATCTAAAAACAATCTCTAGCCTCAGATTTTTGTCTGTTTTTTAATCCTCACCCGAGGACATTTTTCCATTTATCTTCAGAGTGGGAGGAAGAGAGAGAGAGAGAGAGAGAGAGACATTAACTGGCTGCCTCCCCCGTGACCCCGACCAGGGCTGGGAACCGAACTCCAACCGAAGTACCTGCCTTTGACGGGAATCAAACCCGCAACTCTTTGGTCCGCGAGCCGACGCTCTAACCACTGAGCCAAACTGGCCAGGGCCAGCCTCGGTTCTTAAAAGTGTGTTTACAATGATGTTTATTATCTTTTCAACGAACTAACACAAGGAACCAGGAGACCCTAGGAACAGGGTGATCTGTAACATGACCTCAGGCTCGTGTGCTAAAACTTCACAAACCCACACGCCCCTTGCACTAATTGTGTTCAAGAACGCAACAGACTGAAAATCGGCACCGCGACATGACACAACACAGTTGAGGCTATTAAAAGGAAGTACGACTCCCAGATTGAACATCATAAAATACATCTTGAACTGTGAACAGACTTGCTGGAGAAAGCAGAACCTCATTTCTTCACGTCCGCACGGAGGCTGTCGGCAGTTCTCTGGGTAGGATACAAAATGAAAACGAAGCAGACACTGCCCGTGACCTCCAGTGTCCTGCCACGGACACTATATTCAAAGGCGCATTTATGTCGGCAGGAGTGACAGCATTTGAGAGGTGGGCACGTCCCGGTGCCAGGCGACCCTTCACGGGGAAAAGCTTCAGAGCAGGGATGAGCCTAGAACTGCCCTTGCTTGTTCAGGTGGTTGGCATAGGAGCCAGAAAGATACTGCAGAAGTTAGCGCTTGGAAACCAAGAGGTTTACCCCCAAATTTCTGCAGCCACCCCAACACTAAATTTTTTTTTTTAATCCTCACCCGAGGACATTTTTGCATTTATCTTCAGATAAAGCGGGAGGGAGGAAGAGAGAGAGAGAGAGAAACATCGATGTGAGAGAAGACACATCGACTGGCTGCCACCCACACAACCCCAACCGGAGCCGGGGACAAACTGCAACCGAGGTACATGCCCTTAGCGGGAACCGAACCCGGGACTTTCTGGTCTGCGGGCCAACGCTCCAACCGCTGAACCAAACTTGCCAGGACTCCCAACACTAAAATTAATTAATACTTTAAATTTATAAGCTCCACCTTAACTAGAAATGCGGGCTCTAATAGCCTTGTCAATTTCTTACGCGATCGCTGCTCAGTGGATACTGTTACCCCATTGAAGAGCATCGCTAGGATGCATGGGGTGATCCCAGGCTTCCGTAGCTACTGCATCTCATCTCATAAGAATGTAGCAAGTAGATTACAGCTATATTACACTGGGCCCCTTACTACTGACGCAGGTAGCATTTCTGTTAGGTAACTTCTATAAAGCACTGAAACATTAATACCCGGTGGTATATTTATATATTTGAGGGTATCAGGATGCCAAATCAGAGTTGATGCGTCTTCACCGTACAAGAAGGAAATTAAAAGGTGGGGGACAAGAGAAGCAGAGTAAACATTTTAACCATTAAAGCCGATCTCAACTTGAGGGTGGAAAGGTGCCACAGATTTCTGCTCTCCCCTTCCACCTGGGACTCCCTTACGGGACATCATTGCTTCTCCAACTCTGAGAAAACACCGGGCACAGCCAGCCCTATTCTGAGCTAATTTTTCGGAGACTGCAGCAGGGGAAGGTGGTACCTCACTGCACTGAGCGTGCTGCTGATCAACTCAAAGCACGAGTTCTTGCAGGCTGGTGTCCGCCCGGCCTCAGTAACTTCACCTCCAGGGGCAAAAATTCAGAGCTCACGTCCCTTCCGAGTAAGCCAGTTCTCACGGAGAGAACATTCACCCTTTTCTATGCGGTCAGACTTCAGCCTGTCGCCGACCCTCGCCAAAGCAGTTTGTCCTGGGTTCCTCGCCCCACCCCACCCCCAATCCACGCTCCAATCTGGCTCTCAGGAAAGAGTCTTCTTGGATCACTGACCGGAGGCGTGGACACTTTGAAGAACGCTGGCTACACATCCCTGTCCCTCCCTCCACCCCGCGTGTTGTCCACCGTGTTGGAGCCTCATCAACAAAGACAGAACCAGAGGCCACTGAACACTTCCCGCGTTGGTTCTGATTGAGCAGCTAAGTCAAATGTCACTTCTGCAGACAGTGAGCCTGAGTTGCAAAGTGATCTGTGTGGGAGAGGAAATCACACACCCCTCTCCCCCACGTGAAGAGAGGTGCCTGGAGTCAATGAGCCGTCCCGTGTGACCTTGCGAAGCACACCCTCCCCACCGCAGGTCACATGGCTATAAGAAATTGTCCTTGCATTTCGATTGCTCAGACCCCGGTTTCTGAGACCTCAGACACCGAGTCCTCCCCAAATATGGCTATAATGCTGGCAAATATTTGCAGACACCATTTCTGCAAATTGAACCCAAATACAGTTATGTACAAAGTTAGTTTACAGAAAGACCTACCCCACTAAGTTTCTTTGACTAGATCAAAATAGGAATAAATGTCACTTTTACATGTTATCATCTAGTCATCCCAGAAAGCACAGGACACGTGGTGGGAAGAGGAGATTTCTATAGATAGTGCTCAAATATTTGGTTTTCTTTTCTTTTTCTTTTTCTTTTTTTTATCCTCACTTGAGGACACTTTCGCATTTATCTTCAGAGAGCGGGAGGGAGAGAGGGAGAAACGTCGATGTGAGAGAGACACATCGACTGGTTGCCACCCACACGACCCCAACCGGAGCCGGGGATGAACTGCAACCGAGGTACGTGCCCTTAGCAGGAACCGAACCCAGGACTCTCTGGTCCGCGGGCCAATGCTCTAACCGCTGAGCCAAACCGGCCAGGGCAAGGTGATTCTTTTAAATGCAAAAATATATGTATCCTGTGCTTCAAGTCCAATATTTATCTGATGACTCTAACTTCTTATCCAGTCCATTTGTTTAGTCACTGGTCTCCAAGGAACTTGACAAAGGACCTTGAGTGTTCTCACGCTCAAATTCACTTCAAAACCCAAACAAGTCCTTGCACGTCACTTGGGGGAATGCACACTCCTGGTTTAGCACGTGCACCACTGGAGGGTGCTATTCCTCCTCCCCTGCCTTGGGCTGGGGTGACCTGAAACCGAGCACGCAGCACTAGGATGATCAGGGTGGCTCAGGACACCCCAAATCAGTCACCTGAGTTACACACATCTTGACGCTGAAGTGGGTCCTAAACGAGGGGTCACAAAATCAACATCTCCTCTGGTGCTGTCCAAAGTCCTCTGGACGGTGACAGACAGGAAGCGTGGGTGCGTCGAAGGTCCCTGGATAAGGCTGTTCCGACGTGTCCTGTCCCCGTGGGCGGCTCACATCAGGACCTGCTCCCGCGTCTCGGGCAGTCGAAGCGCAATGAGGCCACCGCCGACGAGAGAAGTGGCGGCCAGGAGGATGGGGACGACTTTGGTTATCCCAACAAAAGAAGCGAAGATGGTGTTTCCGAGAATGGCCCCGAATTTGCACAACCCATTGAGGATGCCAAAGGCTGTCGCCCTGTGAAAGAAGAACACAGACTCTGAAAGATGCCAACGAGACCTCATTCGGTGAACAGAACCGGGTTCTTTCTTTGCCTTGTTGTGCAGAAAGGTGTAGTATTTTTTTCCCTCAAATATCAAAGTAATACATTCTCATTTTAGTCAAATTTGGAAATACAGCGGAACAGGAAGATGCAGGAAGGTAGAACCGCACCACGGAAAAGCAGTCACCACTATTCACATTTTGGAGTCATTTCCCTCAGACTTTTTCTTTCTCTTTTCAGATCACAAGTTTACTAAAAGTGTGGCGATAGATTTATACTTAAATTTACATTTAAGTATAATTTATAGTTAAGTAAATGTATATTTAAGAATTTCTATTTAAATTCTCTTTTCACATGTTCTTTTCTGTAACTACACCACCCTTACGATCAGTCGCTAGCCCCCATTTCGGGTCTTTTGTTTCCAGAATGTTCTTGGCTATTTGTACAATTTGCTTTTCCAAATAAGCTCTAAATTAACGTTTCCAAGTTCCTAGAGGTAGGGATGGGGGAATCTCCTAGAATTTTGAACCGACTCTTTTAAGTAGAGAAAAACTAAAGATCTGACATTTTTGTAAGATTAAATCTTCTTAGAATTCAATAAGGTATATCCTGACACACATTTAAGTTTTCTTTAATATTGCTCAGTAAAGCTTTATGGATTTCTTTGCATAGGTGTGTCCCTTTCTCATCAAATCGATTCCTAGATATTTTATGATTTCTGCTTTTATTACCTGGATTTCCATGGTAATTTGTAATATATTTTAAAGTCTATACATTATTTAGTTCTATTACTGACCACCTTACCAGACTAGTGTATTGTTTCTAGTAGTCTCTTTAGCTAATTCTCTTCAGGTCCCTAGATGTGAAGTCACATACCATGCAAATAACAACCATTTCTCCTCCTCTTACTATTCGTAAAACTTAGGCGTTCTTTGGCTCGGGGGTGGTACATCGTGCTTTTCCATAGCAACCTACATCCCAATGCCTGTCACCAAGTTAGAATTTTTGGTCGGATTCCATGCATCGGTCTTCCACACCGCTTCATGGTCCTTTCTGACCACAGGCCCCCTTTATCTGCTGTTCCCCACATCCCCAGCTCCTCCTCAGGAGGGGGTAGCTGCTAAGCAATGGTCTTGCCCGAGGCCTTTAAACCAGGTCTATTCTCATGTAGCTTGTGCACAATAAAAGCAAGACCTGGGCAACCCAGCCTGTTCTCTGCAAGTGCCCCCAACCATCACGCCCCGCCCCCAACCAGCACGCCCCGCCCCCAACCAGCACGCCCCGCCCCCACCACCGATCGGTTTGCCTAGTCCTTCACCTTTGCACTGTCTCCCTTTGTAAGGCTTCTTCTCACCTCGTTTCGATTGTGTGGCGCATGGTATCGTCCTCTTATGTTCTCTCCTGGACACGGTTTACATTCATCCTTTGGCCCTGGCCCTCCACCCCACTCTATCAGGCCTGTGCCAGCCCCCACACAGGAGAAACTAAGAAACATCGGGCCCATGGAACTCCAGGCCGAGCAGAGTGGCCACGGGGCCGGCTGCTGGGGCAGGTGGAGCCCCAGAGAGGAGCCCGGGCGGAACTGACCTCTGGTTGGTGGGATACAGCTCCACCGTGACCACATCCAGGGCGTTCCAGGCAGCGATGCTGGTCCCGCAGAACAGGCACTGCCAGCCGATCATCGCCGACTCGCTGTTGCCAAAAAACAGGAAGAAGCAGCAGACCGCCGAGATCAGCATGGAGCCGCCTGCGGGGGGAGGGCAAGGGCAGGAAGGACATGAAGCCTGTCCGGCTGGTGTGGCTCAGAGGTCGAGCGACGACCCCTGCACCAAGAGGTCGCCGGTTCAATTCCCGGTCAGGGCACATGCCCAGGTTGTGGGCCCGATCCCCAGTGGGGGGCATGCAGGAGGCGGCCAATTGATGTTCTCTCTCATCAATGTTTCTATCTCTCTCTCCTTTCTGCTCTCTCTAAAATCAATAAAGGAAAACTATTTAAGAAACATGAAGCCCGTGGTCAGATAAAACTATTACCCACGGGTCCTGGCCCATCTTCTATCCTCACAGGGACACATGAAGTAACAGGTTACAGAGAGAACACCTTGAACCCTCGCACGGTGCCCTGGCCATGGAATTAGAGCCCTCGGCACAGGTCACGTCGCCACAGGTGGCTTAGGGGAAGAATTTCGAAATTGTCACCCCTGTGGTGCTGCCCAGCCCAGAATCACTGGGGACAGGGTGGGGGTGGGGCTAACAGTCTGTTACTTGCCAGATACTCCTCTAGATGCTTGAGACGTCATTATGGAGACGTCATTATGAGACGTCATTATGAAGACGTCATTATGAAGACGTCATTATGAAGACGTCATTATGAAGACGTCATTATGAAGACGTCATTATGAGACGTCATTATGAAGACGTCATTATGAAGACGTCATTATGAAGACGTCATTATGAGACGTCATTATGAGACGTCATTATGAAGACGTCATCATTGAGACGTCATTATGAAGATGTCATTATGAAGATGTCATTATGAAGATGTCATTATGAAGATGTCATTATGAAGACGTCATTATGAGACGTCATTATGAAGACGTCATTATGAGACGTCATTATGAAGATTATGAAGAGGTCGTTATGAAGACGTCGTTATGAGACGTCGTTATGAGACGTCGTTATGGAGACGTCGTTATGGAGACGTCGTTATGAGACGTCGTTATGAAGACGTCGTTATGAAGACGTCATTATGAAGACGTCGTTATGAAGACGTCATTATGAGACGTCATTAAGAAGACGTCATTATGAAGACGTCATTATGAAGAAAACCACCTCGTGGAACTCGCATTCTAGCGAGAACATAACCACAAATAGGCTACAGAAGGAAAACCTGCGTATTCTCCATTTACACCCATCCCGTCCCAAATTTCCACTGTCCCCCGCCCCACTCTGTGTCCCGAGGAGGTAGAAGAGCAGGTCCCCAGCAGCCAGCTGGGATTTCGGGCAAGAGACCCCCTCCCCCCAGGAATCAGGCCCCGGGGGGAGGGAGGACCTCCGGTTGACAAGAGGCCGGATGGCTGACCTGACCTCGCGAACAAGGGCCCCTCTGGGGGACCTCTGCTTAGAACGTTGCCCTCACCCCTAGGAAGCCCCAAACTAGTGCCAAGCCCTGCTGGCCAGCTGGAAAATAGTAGCTGTCGGCCTGGATTCTGGTGATTCTGGGAAGGGGTAGGGCTGTGAGCAAGTAGCCCGGTAACTATTCTACACAGTTGGGAGAAAACTGGAAGGAGAGGGTGTCATTGACTAAAGCCTGTATTATCTACATTTACACGTCCCTCGGGGTGGCCAGCAGGGGACCTGGCTTACAAGAAATGTTGACAGCCCTGGCTGGTTTGGCTCAGCGGTTGGAGTGTCGGCCTGCGGTCCAGAGAGACCCGGGTTCGGTTCCCGCTAAGGGCATGTACCTCGGTTGCAGTTTGTCCCCGGCCCTGGTTGGTCGTGCGGGTGGCAGCCACTCGATGTGTCCCTTTCACATGGATGTTTCTCTCTTTCTCTCCCTCCCACTCTATCTGAACAAAAAATGGAAAAATGTCCTCGGGTGAGGATGATAAAAAAAAAAAGAAATGTTGACAAATGTTTGTTGAGGACAAATATTATCACCACAGAAATCAAGTGGTAGGGAACTGCCCTTCGATTATGTTAAGTCTTCGGTTACAGGTCCTTGAGCAAGTCACTTAACCTCTGTGCTGAGTGACTATCCCCATTTGTAAAATGTTAATAAAAAATTCACTCGGCCGGTGTGGCTCAGTGGTTGGGCATCGACCCATGCACTAAGAGGTCGCCGGTTCGATTCCCGGTCAGGGCACGTGCTCAGGTTGTGGGCCTGATCCCCAGTGGGGGGCATGCAGGAGGCGGCCAATCAATGTCCTCTCTCATCGATGTTTCTCTCTCTCTCTTCCCTCTCCTTTCCTCTCTCTCTAAAATCAACAAAGAGAAAAAAAATGAAATAAATAATTTTTTTAGAAAGCTAAAATTACAAGCATTACTTATGCTCACCATTCTAAATATTCATGATACTATTTAGAATGATAACATTCAATAGGAGCCCAACACCAGGAAAAGATGACCTTTCCATAAAGACCTGGCCAAGTTGTTCTTCTCTGACAAAATGACTGTGCAGTTTATTCTTTTTGCCTTTGAGCTTTGCTGCTAGGAATCTGGGTACCAGTTTTCCTGAGCAGTGACACCCCAAGGCCAGATCTTACGGCACACTTACTAGTGTGCTGTCTGCTTCCTCACCCGAGGCCCTGACTCATATTCTAAAACACATTTTCTCTGGCCCTGGGTGCGTACACTTAGTTTCTCGTCCACCATGAGTGGCATGTGTTTCTGCAACAAACTGCTACAAATCCTGGCAGAATGAAGCAAAGCATACGCGAACAAAACTGCCATTTTTGAGAAACTGCAATGCACCAAGTACTGCAAGATGCTTTGGGTACATCATGTTCAGTCCTCACAGACGTCAGCTAGAGGTAACCCCGTCTTATAGGAAAGAACTTTGAGGCCTGGAGAAGTAAAGGATTGTTTCAAGTCAAACAGCCTGTAGGTGGTAGGATTCTAAAGTGAGTCTGTCCGACTCCCAAACCCAGAATGGTAGCGTTATTAAATAATAATAATACCACATTTTAAATAATCAAACAAAACCTTGCCCAGCCTGTGTGGCTCAGTGGTTGAGCATTGACCCATACACCAAGAGGTTGCCAGTTTAATTCCTGGTCAGGGCACATGCCCAGGCTGTGGGCCCCATCCCCAGTGGGGAGCATGCAGGAGGCAGCCAATCGATGTTCTCTCTCATCGATGTTTCTCTCTTTCTCTCTTCCTCTCTCTCTTAAGTCAATAAAGAAGGTAAAAATTTTTTAATAATAATAAAACAAAACCAACATTCATTTAAGAAAGAACATTTTATATATTTTTCTGACAATAACCTTTCAAAGCATGTAGAGTGGATAGATTTAATATCCCTATTGAAGTGCTCATAAAATAAGTGATCATCACAGTATTGCTCCATCGGGAAATGGAGACGAGACCCTGGCCTGGACTACAGGTCTCAGACCACCTGCACGAGGCCCTGGGATTTTGTCCCTGCGCCTCCTTGACGCCACACCAGCAGGTGCCATCTGGCCGGGGTGATTTCCTGAGCAGGGTTTCTTACGGAAAATGACACATTCCACCGCACACTTTCAGTCACCGCCTTGGCCCGACCAACTCACCAATCATCTTGAGCCGTCCGATTCTATCCATGAGCAGGGCGGAAATGATGTTCCCGGGCAGGACAGACAGGCTGCCCAGGAAGCTGACAAGGTAAATCAGGAAGTCGTTATCTTGCTCAAAGTCCATGTGACAGCCCTCCTTCTGCTCCAGGAAGGTAGAGTTGATAAATCGGCAGTTGATGAACTTGTGCTCATAGAGGTCTGGGGAGAGAAGGACACCTTGAGTTCATGGAGAGTGGAGGAGGGGTGGGGATTCAGGGCAGAGGCAGGGGTGAAGTATGCCCCTTCCATGGGCAGGCTGCACCAGCCTCTGGCAATCAGACAGTCTTAAAGTCAAGGTGATGCTTGCTAAGGGTGGATGAAGCAAAAACCTCTACAAATGTAATGACCTGTTCAATTTCTGATCAGCAAGGGAAAATGAAATGAACATTCATTGAGAGGCTCATTTAAATACATCATCTCCCAAGCCACGTAACAGTCCTCCAAGGCTACCCAGCTCTTAGAAGCCGAAGACAAAACAGGTCCAGATTGAGTCAACCACTCCAGAGCCCACATAGAAACCTGAACATTCTTCAAAGTAAAAATAAATTGAGCCCCGGCTGGTGTGGCCCAATGGTTGACCCATGCACTAAGAGGTCGCCGGTTCAATTCCCAGTCAGGGCAAATGCCTAAGATGTGGGTCCCACCCCCATTGGGACCAATTGATGTTCTCTCTTATCAATGTCCCTCTCTCTCTCTCCCTCTCCCTTCGTCTCTCTCTAAAAATCAATAAAGAAAAATTATTTTTAAATAATAATAAACTAATTATTTATTTTAACTAATCATCCCCCAGAGCAGGGGAAATGAACAGGGGAACACAGAGGATTTTCAGAACAGTGAAAATACTCTTTGCAAGACCACAATGATGGACGTGTGTCATTATGCATTTGCCTAAACCGATGTATAACACCAACTGCACAATGTACAACACCAAGAATAACCCTAATGTAAACTATGGACTTGGGGTGATAATCATGTGTCAGTGCAGGTTCTTCAGTTGTAACAAATGTACCGCTGCAGTGGGGGGGTGTCGACATGGGGGAGGCAATGTGTGGTGGTGACGGTTTATGGACATCTCCGTACCTTCCTTCTAATTTTGTTGTAAACCTAAAACTTCGCTACACAAAATTAAATCTTCCGAAAATAGAAACCATTTGCTTTGGAATCGGTTTCCATGTCTTCTGGTACCTTCCAACACCAGCTATTCTAGCAGAAATATCATTAAATAGGCTTTCAGGGAACCTGGGTTTGAGGAACCAACTTTAGCGCTGCTGACCCCCTTTAATCTCCATGAATCTCCACCAACAAAATTAGAGGGTACCCCTGATGATCTCAATTACTTCCCAGCCTTGACATCTCATGACTACAAATGTTTGCAGAAGTCCCCATTGTAACAGTATAAAACAAAGAGGCAACATTTCAACTTGGAAGAAGAAAAGATACGCCAGGTTTTCATCACAAGTAGGGATGCACAGAACTCTTTACTGTTTAAGTTCAGGCTAAAAAAAAAAATAAAATGAAATCATTTAGGAAGTTAAGCCCCATTGTAGATTATTTAGAGACAGGGGTATTTGGAGACCAGATATTGAACCTTTGGAGGCTGACATCACGGAAGAAAAAGAAGCTCTTGCAGAACCGTCCCTTGGTGTCAAAGCCAGGATCTGGACATAATGCAAGGGGTTCAGTGAAAAGGTCACAGACTTTGGAGCCAAACAACTGAGAAATGAACCCAAGTCCCATCAGCTTGCTAGCTGTGCCCTTGGGCTAGTGACTTAGCTATAACAAGATGGGCCTACCAGGACATTTGTCACTTGAGACGACGTAGATGAAAACCCTGGTAATGCTCAGTTCATTTCCTTATATCCCAGCTCCACCTGGTATGTTATTAACATAGGATGAAGTAGTAAAAATAACAAAGAGCAAGGAACTGGTGGGATTTTGTGAATCTTTTAAATCACGGAAATCTGAAACGGTGTGATTTTAAAATGTTCTTATCATTTCACTTCATGCAGAAAGCTTAAAAAGATGCCATTTTCTCTTCTTATTTACTGCTGTGAGACCATGAGTCTTGAATTTTTCAAGTTCCAAATGAGGCAAAGTCAAGAATGCACCTTGTGGACAAAATACAGCCCCCTCCTAGGATGATATTTTTATCGGTCTCATACTTTGTTCCTATCATACTTAGCATCTAGCATCAGTCTCGCTGACATCAGAACAGTCACCCAGAACTTCTGTTTCCTTAGAGGTGATAAAACTGAGATGCAGATAAATTAAACGCCTTGGTAAAGACCTTATAACTCATCTGTGCCATCTGAGACTAGAACCCATTTCTCCATCCTAAGGCTCAGCACGCGTATCGGTGAATACATTACTGCACCTAAAGCCTGAGCATTTTGATTTTTATTTATTTTATTTTATTTTATTTTTTTTATCCTCACCCAAGGACATTTTTCCATTTTTTGTTCAGGTAGAGTGGGAGGGAGAGAGAGGAACAGAGAGAGAGAGAGAGAAACATCGATGTGAAAGGGACACATCGAGTGGCTGCCACCCGCGCAACCAACCAGGGCCGGGGACACACTGCAACCGAGGTACGTGCCCTTAGCGGGAACCGAACCCGGGTCTCTCAGGACCGCAGGCCGACACTCTAACCGCTGAGCCAGACCGGCCAGGGCAGCATTTTGGTTCTTAGACCAGACGGATCCACTCCCATGATAGTCTCCCTTCTCTGCCCCTGTTCTTACCTGTGTTATAGAAGGTGGTGGATTCAATCGTGCAGTTTTTGAAGAAGGTATCAGTGGATGTAACGTCTTCGAAATAGCACTCATCAAAGAATGTGTCTTCAAAGAGAACATGTTTAAAGTACATCTTCGTGAACCTGGGGAAAAGACATTGGTTCCTGAGTGATCCATCTTGGGGAAAAAAAAAAAAAAAAAAGGCGACTTGAGAGCAAAATGAAAAACACAAAACGTGGGCAAAGAAGGACCACAAACCAAGAGGTGCTGAAATATTTTCACACTAGACTAGTTCCCCGTCTCTTAGCTGTCGGTTCACAAATGAGGAGGGCTTCAGGAGTCTGGAAGCTGGTGGCAATGTACTCCTTTAACCTTTTATTTTTTATTTTTGTCTCTTTATTTCACCTTTAATATTGAATGTTAGCCTTGCAGGATAGAAAAATGGTAGCGAGGTGAATGGAAGCTCCATAGACCGTCTCCCAGGACCAGACTGGAATTACAACTACAATAAAGACAAGTCATCGGGAAAACCCAACCGAAGAGCAGCTGGATAGAAACCTTATAACCAGAGATACAAAAAGGACCCCACATCGAGGCTGGTAGGAGCTGCAGAGGCGGAGAGGGCTGGCTGGGTGGCCACGGGCAGCAGCTGAGGGCTGTCTTAGCTGTGAGCAGCGCCCTCTGAGAAGTCAGGGTTAAACCCACGCCAGCCCCCCAGCACAGAGAGGCGGAACAGGGAAAGGAGCCCACATACCATCTGGCTGAGAAAATCCCCAGAGCAGAGGTTTGTCCAGCAGGGAGAGGCGCAGGGAACACCAGCACGTCCCTGAACGGCCAGTGAACTAAATTACAGCTCCAGCCACTCGCCTGGGGCTCCAGCAGAGGGAGGGGGGCTGGGCTGCAACTGGGTAAGAAGAGTTGGGGGTTTTGAGCTCTGGGGAGAGACCCGGGAAGGAAGCCATCGGGAGCTCTCTGCTGAGTCACTCCCTCATAAAACAGTAGTCATTTTACTCAAGGAGCCCCTTCCCAGAGACAGGGAAAAGCCACTGCTTCTCCCTCGGGAATTTCACACCACCTGGCCCAGAGAAATGCAACCTGAGGCTCATTAACATCCAGAGTCTACCTGCCAGGCAGTCGGCAGAGGAGAGCCTCTGACAGCTTGCCCTCAAGTCTAATTGGAGGAAAAAGACAGACAACTATAACACAGTGGGAAGCACAGTGATAGAATGAGCACAGGGCACTGAAGTGATTGCTCCTTTTCAGGGCCACGAGATAATTCAGTGCATAAGCATAGATGATGGCCACCTCCCTTTACCTTGCGTGCTCAGAACCCTGACCTAGCGCCACCTATCGGTAGCTTCTGCAGAAAGACCTCCCAGATCCTACCAGTAGGATCTGGTCCAGTGCTTCTCAAACACAGACCCCCAGACCGCTTCCACCAGAATAACACAGGAGACTCTTATGAAAGACACAGTATCCTAGCTCAGCCTCTTCAACAATAATCCCCAGCGTCTCATCCCAGTTTATTACATTTTTTTAAAATATGAGAATCATTCATCTACAAAGCCAAATTAGTTTCGGCGAATTTTTCTTAGGGTCAAATTTACTACAGACCTTTCCAAGGGGAACCTCCAAAAGCTAACACGTAAACTCTCGGGGTGTGCAAGGAAAAACTAATTGGTAAGCCTCTTGTTGCAGGAAAAATGCCTCTGATTTAAAAAGAAATGAACTTGGTATGCGAGAAGTGTTTACTCGGGAAAGCTATTTCTAGAGATTGTCTCAGGTGTTTGCCTTTCGTAATATATCCTTCTCTTTAATACAGCATCAGGCCGCTGATGTGACCTTCAGTGATATTTTAATGTTCTGGAGAAAGTAGGTAGAGAACTGCGTCATCAATCAAATGGGCCTGACACAGGCAGACCTTAAAATGCATCTCCAAGTGAGTAATAAAAAGCCAAAGTTATAAAGAAAGAGATAAAAGAACAGAGGGCTAAGGCGTGTTTTATGAGTCTCTATATAAATCATCTCTTCCAATTTTTAAATTATACACTGAACTGGTCCAAGGGTTTCATTCAGAACAGTTCAAAGGCTGGAGGAATGGTTAGCAAAAGGATTACGTGGAACGTGTCCCGTAGGGAAACACGCCATTGGCGATCCAGGGTCTATGGCAGAATTATTATTATAAACACTATATTTCTGTTACCCTCAGACTCAATGCTTAGTCCAACAGATGACTTAAATTATGCCAAAAGTCACATCTACTCAGTCACCATGTTTTAGATGTGGTGGCATCTCCCTCAGGAAACTCAGTCTAATTAAAGAAATACACTATGTCCTGGCCACTTTGGCTCAGCGGTTAGAGCATCAGCCCACAAACCAGAGAGTCCTGGGTTCGGTTCCCGCTAAGGGCATGTACCCTGGTTGCAGTTTGTCCCCGGCCCCGGTTGGGTTGTGTGGGTGGCAGTACTCAATGTGTCTCTCTCACATCGATGTTTCTCTCTCTCTCTTCCTCCCTTTTTCCCTCCCACTCTATCTAAAGATAAATGCAAAAATATCCTCAGGAGAGGATAAAAAAAAAGAAAGAAAGAAAACTGACCATTAAATCTTAGTAATAATGATCAAGAGAGAGGTATGCTATAAAAAAACACTTCAAAATGGGCACTTGTGATCCACCTGGGAAAAACACGAGATGACTTATTCTGAAGGACAAAAATAAAAGGGAATTCCCTTCACTTTATAAAGGGTATCAACCAAAAATGTAGAGTCAATCTTATATTTAAAGGTAAGACATCAAAAGCGCCCCACTGAAAGTCAGAATATCTGCTAGCTCTGCTTTTGCCCATCACTGAACTGGTCATAAACAAGGCAATACAACGAGAAGTGAGGAGAATAAAATGATAAGGATAAGAAAGGAAGAGGCAAAACTGACTAAGTAGTGAGAAATAGCGTGTTTAATGATTGGAAGATTCTATGGTGTGAAAATGTCCCCAAATGAATTCAGGTATTCTATGTAATTCCAATGAAAATCCCCACCAGCACCCTGGCTGGTTTGCTCAGCGGTTAGCGCGTCGGCCCGCGGACCAAAGAGTCATGGGTTGGAGTCCGGTCAAGGGCACGAACTTCAGTTGCAGTTTGGTCCCCGGCCCTGGTCGGGCTCTTGCGGGAGACAACCAATCAATGTGTATTTTTCACATCAATGTTTCTCTCTCTCTCTCTCTCTCTCTAACCCTATCTCTATCTCTATCTCTATCTCTATCTCTATCTCTATCTCTATCTCTCTCCCCTTCACTCCCTCCCACTCTACCTGAAGATAAATGGAAAAATATTCTCGGGTGAGGATTTAAAAAAAAACATCCCCACCAGCTGTTTTTAATGGGCTCTAGAATGTGATCCTGAGATTCATGTGGAAGAGTACAGAAGGAACACTAGCCAGGAAAAATGCTAATTAGCGGAGGACCTAATACCCCTGGAAACATGACTAAACGACGCAGTTATGGCAATTAAGTCAATGTGGTTTGGGTAAAGGAAAAGACAGACCCATGGACCCAGCGAGCAGAGAAACACAATAATACATGTAAAGAAACTTGACCTATGATAAAAGTGTTATTACATATCATTAGGGGAAAGAGGCAATTTCGTAAATGCCATAGAGACAAATGGCTATTCATGTGGGACGCAGGAGTCAAATCAGTTCCTCTCTTGTATGCAGAGACCACGTCCAGAAAAATTATGGACCTAACTATGAAATGGCGAACTTTAAAACTTAGATGACAAAAAATCGAAATTGACTTTATGACTTCAAATGTGAAGGCTTTCTGAAATAAGAACCAAAAGGCACACATTATAAAGGGAAAGGTGAAAAATTTGGCATTAAAAAATAAAATATCTGCACAAGAGGCCTGGCCAGTGTGGCTCAGTGGTTGAGCGTTGACCCGTGCACCAAGAGGTCACCAGTTCAATTCCCGGTCAGGGCACATGCCCAGGTTGTGGGCCCGATGCCCAGTGGGGGGCGTGCAGGAGGCGGCCAATCAATGTTCTCTCTCATCGATGTTTCTCTCTCTCTCCCTATCTTTTCCTCTCTCTCTCTAAAATTAATAAAGAAAAACAAATAAATTAAAGATATATGCTCTGGGATGAAAACCTATCCTGGTTTTAATTAACAATATTAACAAAAAAAGTTTGGCCTGACATTTTGGTTCAGGGTTTAAAATATGAACTTTTTCTTTTTCTGGCATTTTCCAAAAACTCAGAGTTTTGAAGCAAAAGCATGTGAGAGGCACCAGGCAGCTGCAGATGGTGTTTGGGGAGCAGGTCAATACTCATCTGTGTATTTTTGTTTCTACTTGGGGACTCACTGGAGGCTGAAATTGAGGTTTCAGGCAGATCTCCTTTATTGATAAAAATCTCTCAGTGAAGTCTGAAGCCCTTTAACACAAAGGTATTGTCCCCCAATACAGTCAATAATTTTTATCTGAATTTTAAATCAGCAAAGTGTGGATAAAATCTACGAAGGAATACTAGTGACAAAGGGAAAACTACCCACCCAAGCTAAAGAACATCAATTTAATTAACACTCCGAAGTAGCTTATGGTTTTCCAAGATAGGCTGTTTTCTAGCTTACGACCAGCAGATGGCAGCATAACTCAGAACAAGAAACCAAGTTCCTTTATTCCTTAGATCAGTTTCCAAGGCTCCTCATCTTCCAAGGAGAAAAACACCCTTTTTTTACGCAACAAGTTGCTGGAGGACAAATCATGGACTTTACACAGTCTTAATTTTAGAATCCACTGGTGAACAAAAACATATTTATGACAACTGCAAATGAACTCTTGGCAACTTCTGGAGGGATGAACATTTTACTCGTTACACAGAAACATCCACATGTACTGGAAACGTAGAAACATGGTAAAACTTTTGCGCATACAAATTATTCACATCCACACTCCCGGACCATTCTTGGCGTGTCTATGCATCTCCAGGCCCTTGGCAGCAACCTTGTGGTCCCCTGGGGTCTTGGGTGCACAAGACGAGACCACTTTTATTAGCCCTGCTTCCTCTTCACTCCCACTCAAGCTTGTTGAAAGCATCAGTAGGCTGAGAAAGGTTAAAAAGACTTTGTAGCTAAGTCTTAGTATTTCAAAACCAGTCCATTATAAGTCATAGGGCTCTGGCATCTCGATGAACCCAATGAAACAATATATGACGTTGTCAAGGACTCGAGTTTACATGCCTTGGTTGTAAGAGAGACATTTCTGTTTATATCAGCTGTGTGATTTGGGCAAGTCACGCCACCTCTCTAAGCTTCCGTCTTCCTACCTGTAAAGTAGAAAGCACACGTCTTGCCTCCTAGAATTTGTGCGAGGATTCAATGGGACAATCTATGTCAGCACTGAAGACAGCACCTGGCACACAAAAGTGCTCAGTCACGTTGGCTGCCATCATTATCATCACTGGCCTCGTTAACTTTGTCATGACTATCATTATCATCACCGATGTCACAACAGAATGTCACCGCACATTGGAAACCTCATAAATGAATTCTTGTCAATTCATCTCTGTAGGGAATGATGTCATATCATGAGTGACATCAAGCCATCCATAATGTCTCTTCGTTTTCAGCACTTCTAAATGTTCTAGTCAAGTCATGGCAACATCGTCCCTGGGCAACGCCAACACAAGATCTCTCGACTTCTACTGAAGAGTCCTCCGAGTAGGAAGTCCTGGGAGAACCCTAGAGAAGTCCGGAGTCCACCACCCGTAGCTTTGGAGTTGCCATCTCTGGGGTGGCCGCTCTCAGATGATAGTGGCTCTGAACTGTCCCCACAGAATGTGTGTGCAGGTATGGGCACATGAAAGTGTAGATGTTTGTGACTGAGAGTCTGCATTTATTTTTTTATTTTTTTGGTACGTGCCCCTAGCCGCTAGGGCCCAGCGGGAACTGAACCCGGGACTCTCTGGTCCGCAGGCCAGTGCTCCAACAGCTGAGCCAAACCAGCCAGGACCGAGAGAGTCTGCATTTAAAAAGCCATCTGGACCCTGGCTGGTTTGGCTCAGCGGTTAGAGCATCAGCCTGTGAACCAGTGAGTTACGGGTTCAATTTCATTCAAGGGCTGTACCTCGGTTGTGGTTCATCCCCAACCCTGGTCTGGTCGTGTGGGAGGTGGCCAGTCAATGTGTCTCACATTGATATTTCTCTCTCTCTCTCTCTCTCTCTCTCTCTCCCTCCCTCCTTTTCTCCCTCCCACTCCATCTGAAGATAAAAGAAAAAAATATCCTCAGGTGAGGGAGGAAAAAAATAAAACGCCACCTGGCCCTGGCCGTTTGGCTCAGCAGTCAGAGCATCAGCCCACAGACCGCAGGGTCTCAGGCTCGATTCCTGGTCAAGGGAACGGACCTGGGTTGCAGGTTCAATCCCCGGCCGGGGTCATGCGGGAAGCGACCAATTGATGTGTCTCTCTCACACCGATGTTTCTCTCTGTGTCCCTCCCTCCCTTCCACTCTCTCTAAAAATCAATGAAAAAATATCCTCGGGTGAGGATTAACAAAATAAATCAATAAAAACTTGAAAACAAAAATAGTCGTCTGAATAGCTGAAATCCATGGCCACTGCTCCTGAGTCCTAACCTTCTTCCTGAAGGTCTCAGATGTGTAGGAATAAGAGTCCTCTTTCCCCTCACGCTTTCTTTCTCATCCTAAGTATCAGGGAATGTTTGATAAGGTCTGGCCTTAGAGCCGCAGGGACCGCAGACATGCTGACAGGCACAGCAAGTCACTTCACTGGGACACAGAGGTGGGCATGGTGGAGCAGGTGGACCATGAACTGGAGGAGAGGGGTCGTGCTGTTCTGTTAATTCTTACGCAGGGGCGGGGAGATGTGGGCCGTCTCTATCCCTGACACTGACTATCTGGTCCGTGGCTCTTCTGTTGCCACTACGCAGCCTGACCTGATGAGGGCGCTGAGTGCAATTCAAGGAGGAAAGTAGCAGAGGAATCGCAGCCCCAAGTAAACTCAGTCCTGTCCTGACCCACCTGGCCGGCTGCAGAGGGTAGCCTCCAAGATCATTCTTACCGCCTGAATTTCATCTGTCCCGGGAGTAGAAAGAAGGGGCGTTAAGAGGATTGAAGAGGCAGCCCCACAAAAACGTAAGAAGGCCTGGCCGGTGTGGCTCAGTGGTGGAGCATCGACCCATGCACCAACGGGTCACTGGTTCGATTCCCGGTCAGGGCACATGCCCAGATTGTGGCCCGATCCCCAGTGAGGGGCATGCAGGAGGCAGCCAATCGATGTTCTCTCTCATTGATGTTTCTATCTCTCTCCCTCTCCCTTCTTCTCTCTCTCTAACATAAATAAAGAAAAAAGAAAAAATGTAGGAAGAACTTTTCTAATACTCAACTCGTTGTTCCCCAAAAGGACAACACCCTGGAGTCGGGCTGGCCATGCTGACCAATCCCTAAAGGGAATATTGGGTTGGAGAAGAATGGAAGAAAGTGTCCCATTAGCTTCGGCCCGAAAAGGGGTTCAGAGTCAAAGAAAAAGCTCAACAGCCAAGCAGGGGGTTGGTGCAAGGACTTCAGCAGTGAGGGGTCTGGCAGACAGCATCCACGGGTCACAGCTCCCTGTGTATCTCCATTAAAGACCTGAGCTCTCAGGCAAGACGGTCAGGTTGACCCTCCTCCGTCAAATGCCTCCATCCTTGAACCAACCAGCTGTATCAGAAGACTGGGAGCCAGCATAATAGAGATGCGTCCCCAGGGGAATTGCTCTGGCAGCCGTGGTAAGTTGTGCTACCACAACAGATTGGAGCTCATTTCCCTGCCATGCTGAGCTCTTACCTGTCCAGTGGCTCTCTCCCCAGAACACCCCGCGGGCTATCACCCTGATACAGGGAAAGCCCCTGGTTTCTCACTTACTTATCGTTCACAAACTTCCCGTGCTGGTGAATCTGATTTTCCATCGTGAAGTTGATTGTGGCCCCGTAGACGTGCTCACCGAAAAACACCTTCATCTTGGACCTGTATTCTTCATCTTGAAAATACCGGATCATGTCGGGGAACCAAACGGTCAGTCCATAGTAACTGGAAGAGAGGAGACGGGAGGCTCAGCAGCCTTATTCTTCCGTTGTCAGACTCTGCATTCCTGCTCTGATGCAGAGAACACTCATTTTAAATGCATGTGTGTGGCTCGTTAGCAGAAAATCTGATCACGTAAAGCATCGTCGTAACAGATCTAAGGGGAAAAAATCATGACCATCTCTATAGATGCAGAAAAGGCACTTGATGAAAAACCAACATTCATTCCTGATAAAAATACCAATAGACTGGGAATTGATGAACACTTTCTTAACATGTAAAAAATACATGTCTCAGCTCAAAAGGCAGAGTCTTACTTAATGGGGAGACACTAAAGACATTCCCACTGACATCAGAAACAACACCCGGACACCCATTATCACCACTACTATTGAACTCGATATTGTAGGTCTTGGCCAACTAAGTTAGACGAGAGAAAGAACGTAGAAATATAAAAAAGCAAGAGGTAAAATTACCTCTATCTGTAGATGATATGATTTTTTAAAAATGTGTTTTTATTGATTTTTTTAGCGAGAGAAGAAGGGAGAGAGAGAGATAGAAATATTGATGTCAGATACATCGATCGGCTGCCTCCTGCCCACCCCCTACTGGGGATGGAGCCTGTAACCCCGGCATGTGCCCTGACTGGGAATCGAACCAGGACCTGTCAGTCCATGGGCCAATGCTCAATCCACTGAGCCACACCTGCCAGGCGATGATATGATTTTATACCTGAAAAATTCAAGATAACCAACTCAAAAAATAGATATTGGACATATAAAAAAGATGCTCAATCCCACTCATAATAAGAAAAATGCAAATTAAAACTACGCTGTGTTAACATTCTCACCTACCAGACTGTCAAAATGCCAAAGTTTCAAAAAACACCCTGTTGGTGAGGCTATAGGTAAATAGGTGTTCTCATAAATTACTGGGAAAGGGACAGAATCATATAATACCATATGGAGGATAATTGGTCAATGACTAAAAAAAAAAAAAAAAATTGCTCATGGATTTACCCCCTTTTACTCCATAATCCCATTTCCAGGAATACATTCCTGATAAACTTGCACAATAGAAAGCAGGCTCGGAACAGCGACTCCTTGTGGCATTGTTTGCAATAGCAGCAGTCTGAAAACTCCCAAGAGTCTAGCAATAAATCCCTGGTTGAGTAAAGTGAAGTACTTCTCTCTGGAGGGCTGTGCACGTGTGCTATGCCGCTGTGAAGAGTGAGGAAAGTCTCCGTTTACTGGTCTGAGAGATCTCCAGAATGAATATATATTGTTAAGTGCAAAAAGCAGATGCACCCTGGCTGGGCTGCTCAATGGTTAGAGCACCAGCCTACGGACCAGAGTCCTGGGTTTGGGTCCAGCCAAGGGCATGTACCTCAGTTGCGGTTCATCCCTGGACCCTGTTGGGGTTGTGCGGGTGGCAGCCACTCTATGTGTCTCTCACAACAATGTTTCTCTCCCTCTCTCCCTCCCTCCCACTCTGTCTGAAGATAAATGTAAAAACATCCTCAGGTGAGGATTTTTAAAAAAAAAAGCAGATGCAACAATGTGTTCCTTTGAATAAGAAAATGAGGAAGAAATAAGTATATAGAATTATTTAAATTTGCAAAAAGAAACTCTAGAATGATAAATAGGGAAATAAAATATGATTGCGTATAGGAGGCAGAAGGGAATAGGTAGAGGGCATTAGAGCCCATTTAATTTCTTGGGGAGCGTCTTTGGTCACGGGTGGTGATGAACAAAGCAATATCACAGATGGAAGTTTAAAATCTCATTGAAAGTTCCTAGGGGTTGATTGTCATTTATTGAGCATGTATTATAGTACCAGCAACTATTGCAAGCACTATTATATGCAATGAAGCAGCCTTATGATGCTGTAAGTGAGCCCCCAACCTTGCACAGAAAGAAAGGGCATGTTATTTGGAGGTGAATTAAGTAACTGGAGTGAGAGCCACTGTTTGAGGGAAGAACTAGCTAATCACCAGTCATATTATATTTAAGTTTCCTTATTACAGACCAGTTTCCCTCTTCTGCCTGTTTAATATTCAGTGACACTCAGGGTGCCTACTCAGCACTCATTCTTTGCTTCTTCCTTGGGACCAGACACTCAGTTCTGTACCGACCCTCAGGAAGGCTAACGGCGTCATCAGCTCAGCGGCAAATCCTGATGGGTCTAAAATTGGCGGGAAATCACATCGCCTTGGCCAGTGATCAGTTTAGCCCTGGGCGTGTGACACACGTGTCCTGGGAAAGGTTTCCTCACTAGTAAAAAGGGAGGCTTGCCCTTGCCGGTTTGGCTCAGCGGTTAGAGCATCGGCCTGCGGTCCAGAGAGACCCGGGTTCGGTTCCCGCTAAGGGCATGTACCTCGGTTGCAGTTTGTCCCCGGCCCTGGTCGGTTGTGCGGGTGGTGACCACTCGATGTGTCCCTTTCACGTCGATGTTTCTCTCTCTCTCTCTCTGTTCCTCTCTCTCCCTCCCACTCTACCTGAACAAAGAATGGAAAAATGTCCTCGGGTGGGGATGATAAAAAAAAAAAAAAATTTAAAAAGGGAGGCTCAGGGAGAGGGTCTTTGGGACAGAATGCCAAAGCAACCCAGGCACCTTGCGATCACAGTCACAGCCTGAGACTGACACTCCGACAGCCTGCCCGCCTATGGAGTTCTTGTTACAAGAGTGAGGAATTGTGTCATTACAGGCACGAGAGTGGCTTGCCCATTACCTGCGACCAAAAGCATCCAGTCTGATACAGACTCCCCGAGTCAGAACCAACCCCAATCCTCGGTCTATAGATGACGCGCGTGAAGCTCAGAGAAATCAGTGAGCTTACGTAAGAGCTTACCTCAAAGCCATGGTGAGCCAGACCACAGCCAGAATCAGCGTGTTCATCCGGTAGGGCCCCAGCACGCAGTACTGCGCATTGTCCCAGACCTAGAACGCACACCAGACGACAGCTATTAATGGAAGGAACTTGTGACTCGGGAAAGCTCATTTCTAAGCTTTTCCTATGCGTTCCCCAGGAATCCCTGGAGAGAATGGGCAACTATTATCTCCCAGAGGTGGCGATCCTATTCCAATGAAGGCTTTCTCCTCTTACTGGCCGGCCTCAGCCTCTAACAGTCCTGGATTTCAAGGCTCTGAAGAAACTTGAGGACTGAGTTCTCCCTGCCTGCGGGAATGAGTTGATGTTCCAAACGTAATGACCATGCACCGAAGTCATCCCGTCTTAGCCGACGCTGGCCGTCAGGTGCCTGGATGCTCAACAGCTGACTTGCCTGTAGGGAGATACTTCTCTGCAGAAATGGCCTTATTCTTCAGGAAGACTTTCTCGGAAATCCCTTGCAAATCTCAACGGGTCATTTATGTCACTCACTCCTCTCTACCTTTGAGTTATTTAAAGAGAAGATGCTAGAGAGAAGGATGTTTACTCATACTACCATTGTATCTACATTCAGAATCTCTGCCCGGGCAAAGAAGAGCAAAGACGAGAAACTAAGGTTTAGAGAGTTTGTGGCTCAAGGGCTCACAGCAAGCGAGAGGCGGTCATGGGCGCTGACGCGGATGTCACCGTGCAGGGTTGCTTCCTCCCCATGGCACTGGCTTGGGTTGATGGTGCTCGAGACTTCTATTCTTCACCCACTGAGGTTACAGATTCCCACAGAGCCCGCTTCCTAATCACTACGCATCTCCAGTTATACCTGCTTGAAAGTGGTCTTGAATCTGACCAGGCAGCGTTGGTACCAAGTTCCTGTTGCACTTTGGATCTCGAAGAACTCGTCCGTTTGCTTGGGAGTTTTAATATGGGAAACCTGTAAAACAAAGGTGAGCTAGATGATCTCAAACCTGCTTTGTATCAGACTTTTCCATTTCTAGTTGAATGGGACTAACCTTACCAATTTGAGGGCCAGAGTAGCCTTTGGTGACCCCCTCATTCGGTGATTCTTAACCAAAGATGTACATAGCATCTCTGGAATATTTAGCCCTCTGCAGACAAAGACGGATCTGTCTTTTCCCTCAGTCATGCCTTTGAGAAGTTAGTGGGTCATAATTCACTAAATTCCCATTTATATCTGATTTTCCCACAGTGGGGTTGACTCTACCTTAAAATTCACAAGTCTGTCCTCAATGAGTATTAACAGCACAGAAGTCTAGAACCCATGTACAAAATAGAGTATGTGTGTGGTGGGGACATGGAGTTTGCTATGCAGGACATTTTAAAAACACAACAAAATAAGAGAAAATATAACTTCCCCTGTACAGCAAAGAAAATCATCAACAAAATGAAAGAGCAATCTAGTGAATGGGGAAAATATCTGCAAATCATATATCTGAAAAGCAGTTAACATCCAAAATATATGAAGAACGTATACAACTCCATAGCAAACACCAAACAATCCAATTAAAATGGGCAGAGGATCTAAATAAACATTTTTCCAAATAAGACATACAAATGGCCAATTGGCATATAAAAAGAAGTTCAACATCACGAATTTTCAGGGAAATACAAATCAAAATCACAATAAGATATCACCTCACACCTGTGGCTATTATTAAAAACAAACAACAAACAAACAAACAAACAAAAAAACAAGAAATAGCAAGTGTTGGCGAGGATGGGGAGAAATGGGGACAATTGTGCACTGTTGGTGGGAATTTAAATTGGTGTAGCCACTATGGAAAACAGTATGGAGGTTCCTCAAACAATTAAAATTAGAACAACCCTATGATCCAGCAATTTCATTTGGGTATTTATCCAAATAAAACAAAAACACTAATTCAAAAAGATACATGCACCCCCATGTAGGTGGGAGTTAATCCGGGAAGGGTTTTTGGAGGAGAGAGATTTGAGGCTGGGTCTGGGAAGAAAGTTATGCCAACAGGTACAGAGATGCCTGCAGTGGGCATTCCTTGGGGTTGGCCACATTGCTTGGTGGGGAGGGACACAGATCATGGAAACTAACAGGACATCTTCATGGAAATCACCATTTACTAGTTTTTTAACTTTATAAACTAGCAAGAAAAAAAAAAAAAGGCAGGCTAACAGCCCATTGGTGGTAAGGATGGAGAGAAATGGGCAACTTGTTGCTTGTGGCCTTGTACACCGTATTGAAATGTAATTTGGCAATGTATCTCAAGAGATAATCAAAATATTCAAGCTCTTGGAACTAGTTGTTTCGTTTCTAGCCATCATCTCCTAGAAAACAAACCCAGAACATGAAGAAAGGGAAAGAAACTATATGTGTGAGGAGGTTCATTGAAGCAATATTTACAGGAACAAGGTAATGAAACGAGGGAAATAATATCTAAGCTTAGGGACGTGTTTAGAAAAACTGTGTTAATGCTCCTAATATTGATGTTCACTAAAAGGATAGTTATGAACACTACAAGACACCGTATAGAATGCTCATGCGAACTCTTACGTAACATATATACGTAAATACATGTAATTACGGTAACCCCTCATGAATACAGCTAGTTCCTTTTTCTTTCATTATTTAATAATTGTCGGTACTGAGGTTATCCATCAAAATGTAAAGAATTCATTATTTCACAGTGATAAGAATGTCAAAGGTTTTATTCATCTTTTGGCAGACTTTCTGGGATGTGCTTATATAATGACGTTATTTTTTCAGCAAAGCAAACCAGGAAAGAGGGGTTCCTCTCCCTGACACGGACCACACACTCACCGTGAACACCTTCTCCGGGGTCCCCTTCGCTCTCATGTTGGTGTCGTGGACTTGCTTGAGAATCATCCAAGCTTCGTCATGTTTGCCCATCTGGAAATACCAAGGAAAGAGAGGTGGAAAAATCCTTTGCTGCTGAGTGCGGATACCCAAGTCCAAGGCGATGGGATGTGGACTTGCTACTATTTAGGGCTTGTGAAAGATGAGGACAGGTTCCCGTCACCAGCCCACCAGGGAAGGATAATGACGTTGAGCCTTCAAGGTCTAGATGCTCGGCATTAACATCGTTATGTGCTAGGAGTAACTGCTCGGAGCCGGGAGGTTGAACGGACCGCTGAGTGGAGGTCATATCCTCACTGAGAGGATAAAGCAAACACACACGTTATACGTTGAACTGTGCACCCCCCAAAAGATACGCAGGGGTCCTAACCTCCAGGAACTCACGATGTGGCCTTATTTGGAAAAAGGGCTGCTAAGGGTGTAATTAGGATGAGGTCATTCTGGAACAGGGTGGGCCCCGCATCCATATGACTGTGTCCTTATAAGAGTCATGTGAAGACGCAGACACATAAGGAGGAGGCGTGGACGACAAAGGCAGGGACTGGCGTGACACAGCTATGAACCAAGGAGGAAAGGCAAGGCAGGGTTCCCCGAAGGGCTCCAGAGGGAACGTGGCCCTGCCGACACCTGGATTTTGACCTTCCAGCCTCCAGAAGGGTGAGCCTACAAATGGCTGTTACTCTGAGCCACTCAGACTGCGGTCCTCTGTTATAGCAGCCCCAGGACACCAATACACAACCAGGCGTAACTGTTGAGATATCCTGGTTAAAACACTTCCTGCGCCCAGCTCGTGTGGCTCAGTGGTTGAGCATTGACCCATCCCCAAGAGGTCACCAATTCTATTCAGGTCAGGGCACATGCCCAGGTTGTGAGCCCGATCCCCAGTGGGGAGGCAGCCCATCGATGTTCTCTCTCATCAATGTTTCTATCTCTCTCTCCTTCTCCCTTCCTCTCTCTCTAAAACCAATAAAGGAAAAAAAATAAAAAAAAACAACCCTCCCTGCGGTATGTGTTGCCTGGTCAGTGGGAAATTCAACAAGGAGGATCACTCTGAAGGAAGGTCTAGGAGCCCCAGAAGTGAACGCAGAATTGGGGCTATTACAGCCTGTGAGTCCTACTGCCCCTCTACCAGCCCCGCCCTGTCTGACCACTGCACACACAAGATCCAGGTGGGAGGCTCCAAGGACTCATCTCTGGGGAGCAGTAACAAGCTTTCCCACAGATCTTACAAGCAGAAATGTCACACAGCTTTGCAGAGCCTCATAATCGGGACCTCTGGAGAGAGTGGGTGCCAGAAGCAGCTTCAGGAGGCCCCTGCACCTGTGCCCAGTGCTCCGTGACCTCCTGAGCCCCTCTGCCTCAGGTGGTCCATGAACCCATGGCAAGCAACCATCACAGACAGCGAGGGAGCCGATTTGATGATGGGTCAGGACAGCCAACATGGAGGGGTTCGCAAGAGAGGAAGAGGGTCTAAAGGGCTGAGGAAGCAGAGCTAGCTCCTGTCTCTCTCCCATTGCTCTTCCTTGGCGCAGGGGCTCTGACTCACCTCTAGCAGAAACCGTGGGCTCTCTGGCATGAACCTCAGGGCCACCAAGGACACGGTACAGGGCAGAGCACAGACGATGACAAACACTCTCCAGCTGTGGTAGTGGTAGTGGGTGCCCATGCTGAAGCCCCAGCCTGCCAAGGAGAAAGCAGAGAATTTCTGACACTACCTTCAAGCACCGGCTCTCCAACTTCAGGGCACGAGAGGAACACCCGGAGAGCAGGTTCAAATGCAGACTCCCTGCTGTGCCCCCAAAGCTACTGACTCCCAAGTCTGGGATGGACACCGGGACTCTGCATCCTAAAACCCCCAAGTGGGCCTGGCCTGACATTTATAGGACCTTGGGTGAAAGAGGCAACATCCCATATTTCTATATACCCTTTGAAATTGCAGTTAACAACCTGTTCAACAACAGATGTTCTATCCCCTGCCCAGCACTGCACACGAACCACCCACCCCAAGGGACCCCCTCCCATAATCTTCCTTCCTCACCCCTCCTACAGAGTGAGGGGCCTCATGTTCACATGTGTGGACACACCATACACACCACCATGGTGACGATCAACATCCCTGTCATGATCACTTGAGTTTAGTGTTAATTCCTGGGTCCTGAGTCACCACAGCAGGATCTGAAGAAGCAGGGCTCCTGGCCCTCAGGGAACCCTTGTTTCATCAGAAGGGGTGTGGCTGAAGGAAAGCCAGAACATGGTCTAATATGACCAAGGTTGTGAGCTGTGGGATAATATGAAATATAACAACATCCACATCATAGGAGTTCCAGAAGAAGAAGAAAATGAGCAATGGTCAGAAGAAGAAGAAAATGAGCAAGGGTTGCCATGGCCGGTTTGACTCAGTGGTTGGAGTGTCGTCATGTGGACCAAAGAGCTGTGGGTTAGATTCTGGTCAAGGGCACGTGACTCTGTTGTGGTTCGATCCCTGGCCCTGATCAGGGCCATGCAGGAGGCAACCAATTGATGTGTCTCTCTCACATCAATGTTTCTCTCTCTCTTTCTTCCTCCCTTCTTCCCTCCTTCCCACTCTGTCTGAAAATCAATGGAAAAATATCTGCAGGTGAGAAATAAAAATAAAAAATGAACAGGGGTTAAGCTTGACTGATGTGGCTCAGTGGTTGAGCATTGACCCATGCACCAAGAAGTCACCCGTTTAATTCCCAGTCAAGGCACATGCCCAAGTTGTTGGTCTGATTTCCAGCAGGGGGCATGCAGGAGGCAGCCAGTCGATGTTCTCTCTCGTCGATGTTCTGTCTCTCTCTCCCTCTCTCTAAAAATCAATAAAGAAAAAAATTGGTTTTAAATGAGCAAGGGTTAGAGAATATATTTGAAGAAATAGTGACAGAAAACTTCCCTAACTTGGTGACGGAAAAAGGCATACAAGTTCAGGAAGCACAGAGAGCCCCAAGAAAGAACACAGAGAGGCCCACACCAAAATACATAATAATTAAAATGCTAGAAAGTAAACAAAAAGAAAAACCCAGAGCAGACAGAAGGAAAGAAATAGTAAAGGTCAGAGTGGAAATAAACAACATAGACACTAAAAACACAATTCAAATGATCAATGAAATGAACTGGTTCTTTGAAAAGATAAATAAGATTTTTGCCAGACTGACTGAGAGACAAAGAGAGAGGACCCAACTAAACAAAATCAGAAAAGAAAGAGGAGAAATAACAACTGACACCACAGAAATACAAAGGATTATTTAAAAAATACGATGAACAATTTATAAAGTGTTCTGCCTCAGAAAGATTGTTTTATGATAATATGTTTAAATTATCCGAAATCCATTAGCCCCTCATGCCTCTATGGTTTTTATGGTGATTTTAGTAATCTGCATTTCCCATTTATGAGGCACATGTTCGGGGCCTTAAATTAAATAAAATTAAAGCGTGAACTGCTCCCCCAATACACGGAACAGCTATTAACTTGAAGAGAGGAATTGCTCGGTTCATTGGTCTTTGGCTTGCCCTACTGTTCTGTGTCGGGATTTCACACATAGCTGGCAGTCCTGACTACAACGGGAATCACTCTTCCATAATACATACATTTTTTTTTTTCCTGAGTCCCCAGGAAAACATTCTGAGTTTTGTCATTTTCTTTCTCAATGACTCGGTCACCCAAATTCCTGGTACCGAGACCTCCCATCGCTTTGCTCCTGCGAAAGCAGTTAAATAGGTTGCACAGCCGTGCGCACACCCCTGTCTCCTCTCTGTAGTGACCCCTGCATGTGTCCTGCTGAGGGTGGAAGGTTAGAGGATTAATGTCTTAGGCATCTTAACAAATATCATCAAATGTCTGGTTCACTGTGGACCAAACATCTGGTCCTTGCAAAATGAGGCTTAAAAATCAATAATCAGTCTTCTTTTACTGGGCTCCAAGTCTACCATATTTCTAGGATGGGTTTTCCCCAAGTTAATGCCTGTTTCAATTGAGCCAGATTATCTAAGAGGCTTGTATTTTTTTTTTTTTTTTTACTTGCTCAGCGGTAGAGCATAGGCCGGTGGATCAATGAGTCGTGGGTTCGGTTCTGGCCAAGGGCACATACCTCATTTGTGGTTCATCCCTGGCCCTGGTCGGGGTCATGCGGTAGGCAACCAGTCAATGTGCCCCTCTCACGTCGATGTTTCTCTCTCCCTTTCTCTCCTTCTCTCCCCCCACCCCTTTGTCCGACGATATATAGAAAAATATCCTTGGGTGATAATTTTTGTTTTTAAAAAGTATACATTTTGACTTTAGTTCTTTGGTACTACCAAGGATTGGCACCACTCAAAATAGTCTATTTTCCCATTTCTCTTTTTTCCCCCCCTCATACTCCATTCCCCTACCTCCAACACTGTACTACCTTTTATTGAGCATTTATTTCCCTCTTTATTCTCCTTTCTCTTCCCCTCAACTCTTCGTAAGAGGCCTGTATTTTGAAATGGGATGTTAAAGTCACAGATTTCATCTGAGCATGCAAATAAAAAACACCGTGTCCAATTGGGGTACAATATGTAACCACGGGCCCTGCTGTCGATCAGTGGAGGTCAGTCAGCAGCCACGCAGTCCTCTGCCTGGAGCAGCCCATTCAGTCTTGGTCGACAGCCTCCCCACCTAAATGCTTTTATTGCTCTCTTAGAAACCAGATACCCAGGCACTGGTGTGGGTGTGTGGGTGTAGAGTGAAGAGAAAAAATTATGCAGTGTGCAGTGACCACTGTGGGTTGGCTCCCCCACAACATCCCCCCAAGATCTTCCTGTGTTGCACTTATATGGTTTTGGGGGGCCTGACCCCCAGCCCCAGTGCCAGGAATGAGAAAGGAGGTATATGTAGACCATTCAGGACCTGGCATCCTCTGGGGTATAGTGATTGGCTGAGGTGGGCACATGAACTAAGCTGATCCAATCAGAGGGAAGACAAAGACCTTAGCTCATTGGTCAGGTGGAGGGCATGCCTCCTCGGTAGACAAAACAGTCTGCAAATAGGGGGCCTAAAATTGCTTCTGCTTTTTAGAGGGAAACTAGCCCATAACTCCCCTTTGCATCCCAAGACTTGCTGAGTGTTAGGACTGGGCCAGGTCCGTATTATCAATGTTCTGTTTCCTTCCTCACTCCGTTTTATAGCTGAAGGAACCAAGTCTGGACAAGATGGAATGACTTGCCCCAAATCACACAGCACCACGCCTTTGACTCAGCTTTTATCCAGATTTTATCTGCCCCCCCCCCCCAAAAAAAATCTTTTACTCAATTTAAATGTGGAAATGGTTTCTTTGGGTCCACACATTTGGATCGTTAACTGGGGAAATGATACAGCAAAAGCTGTTGGGGGAAAGGGAATTCCTCAGACACACAAAACCAACAGCACAGCACACGGGCAATTAAAGTGTGTGTCCGGCCCTGGCCGGTTTGGCTCAGCGGTTAGAGCGTCGGCCAGCGGTCCGGAGAGACCCGGGTTCGGTTCCCGCTGAGGGCACGTACTTCGCTTGCAGTTTGTCCCCGGCCCTGGTTGGTCGTGCGGGTGGCAGCCACTCGATGTGTCCCTTCACATCGATGTTTCTCTCTCTCTCTCCCTTCCTCTCTCCCTCCCACTCTATCTGTACAAAAAATGGAAAAATATCCTCGGGTGAGGATAAAAAATAAAAAATAAATAAATAAAATAAAGTGTGTGTCTGAGTGTAGAATGCAGAACCTGATCTTCGGAGAAATACAACCTGGTATCCAAAACTGTGCAGCACGGCTCCGGGTGACAGAATTACTGGGAACACTCTTCAACTCTTTTATTTTATTATTCCTGCTCCTATTTCTTCTCTGTTTCTGATACAAAACCCAGTGGGTTCTCAGGTACTACATCTGACAAAGATTACATGATGTTCCCAAACCCATTTCCTCTCCTTTCTGGGCACAAGCTAGATTGCTTTGCCGGGTGTCCTTTGCAAAGGGTGTGATCATATTAAAGATTTGGGGCAAACGGGATGAGAGCAGAGAGGATGTCCCCCACTTCCTAGCCTGCCCTGCCCATATTCAACTGCTCATGCTCTTTCCCAAATCAGCGACCTTGAAGTGACATGTTGGAGATGATGCAATCATAGGCTAGGAGTCTGAGTCCCCAAATTATGGACGGAACAGAGCCACCTGCAGATCAGAGACATCAGTCAGACTTTGCAGGAGAGGGAAACTTTGATTGTGTTAAACCACTGAGATTTAGGATTTATAGGATTATCAGAGTAATGCCCCAGCCTCTCCTTAATTAATAGAGGAAGCACCGTCTCTACTAAGACTTCAAAAATATATATACATTGTGCCTCCATGAGCCCAGAACACACCCAGGACCACATTGAACACAAGGACACCAAGGAGGTGAATGAGCAAAGTATTAGTTAGCTTCAGGCACAGTAGTCTGCTACCCCCATCCCTCCGCAGGTTCTAAGTCATGGCAAAGCCTACACCCACAACGGGGGCTTTTCCAAAAGTGACTTTGCAGGGTGCAGTCGGTACCTGTTGCCCAGGAGACACAAAGAGGCGTCATAATCAAATTCAAAACGGCTGCCTCCTCCCTGCTTTGCCGTTGACAGAAGCAACAGTGAGTGTTAGCAATGCCAGGTCTCTGTCTAGAGAATCCGCTTTTTACAATTATCCAGGATAATAAAGTTGTCCCAGCTGAAACAGAGACCTTGCCTGTGAGGCTGCTCAGTGTCTTCAGTCTACAAGACTACTGCATGGGGGAAGAGGAGGGCGGGGCGTATCAGTATACAAGGTCATGCCAGGGCAGTGACCTTGGCCAAATCACCACCTTCTCTTGGCTTCTCTGTCATCCTCCATAAAATGGGGTTACTGAACCCCAACTTGTTAAGGAGAGGATAGCTAGAGGAGATAACAGGTGAAGTTCTTATATGCATGTACGCGTAACCGATGGACCCGGACAACAAAGCCGGGTATGGGGTGGGGGGATGGGGACGAGGGTGTCAATGGAGAAAAAAAGGGGGAACATCTGTAACAAAAATAAATTAATAAAAAAAATTTTTTTAAATAAAATAAAATAGCCCTGGCTGGTTTGGCTCAGCGGTTAGAGTGTCGGCCTGTGGTCCAGAGAGACCCGGGTTCGGTTCCCGCTAAGGGCACGTACTTCGGTTGCAGTTTGTCCCCGGCCCTGGTTGGTCGTGCAGGTGGCAACCACTCGATGTGTCCCTTTCACATCGACGTTTCTCTCTCTCCCTCCCACTCTATCTGAACAAACAATGGAAGAAAAAAAAATGTCCTCGGGTGAGGATTAAAAAAATAAAATAAAATAAATTAAAAAAAAAAAAAACAGGTGAAGTTCTTTCAAATAAAAAGAAGGAAGAAGAAAGGAAAGGAAAGAAGGAGACAGGAGGAAGGGCGGGTAGGAGGGAGGGAGGGAGGAGACGCTGTATTATGTCCTGAAGCCCATGTATTGAAATGAGCAGCGAGTGTCCAGTGTCGGAATTCCTTTAGGAAAATCAAGGTCACGCACAGTGAGTACAGGGAATAGGGCTGAGGACAGGCAATGTCTCTGGGCTGCTTCAAGCCAGTGGGCTCACCGTAGTGCGGGATGACGGTCCAGGCCATGGCAGAGGCATAGATGCCCCCGGTCATCCAGAAGATGCCCAGCCAGCTGAGATGCTCCCCTCGCTTCTCCCGAGACAAGAATTCCGAGAAATAGGCGAACACAATGGGCAGAGCTCCGCCGATACTGCAGGATAAGAGAATCAAGCCACACGATCAAAATGGTCACGGCAACAACCACGTGGCCTCGACCCCACCGTCAGGCTCCGTGGTGAAATAACCGAGTGGATTTGAAACACTGGCCAAGGAAATGGCAGGTCGTATTGACCACTTACACTGTTGGACCACTTAACCCCTTTCTAAGGTCAACCCCAATGTGGTGTCTTGGGAGTGGGATAAAAATCCAGTCCAAGGTTTTCCTGGAGGGAGCACTCAGAGATCGAGATCCCGGATGGATGGACCACGGTTCTAGGGGGCCCAGCTGAAGCTCTGAGACTACGTACCCTATGCCTGAGATGAGTCGGCAGAAGAGGAAGGCCCCATAACCTTGCACAAAGGAGGAGACGGAGGCGAAGGAGGCATTGAGCGCCAGAGACACGCTGAGGACTCTCTTCCTCCCCAGCTTATCAGCCAGGCCCCCCAGGACGAAGGCCCCCGCCATCATTCCCAGATAGACTATCATCCCTGCCAGGAAACAGAGAGGAGGGGGAGGAAAGAGCAGACAAAACATTAGAGGCCGTGCAATGCTTTAGAAAACCCAAGGCCCATGTTTATGCATCCTAGAAATTCCATGTCACCGACATCAAAGGTGGAAGGCAACAGGTGTGCTTGGAAAATTAGACGTTCCGTACAAATTCAACTTCTTAGGAATGCTATTCAAAAAAAAACCAAAAACAGTCTCATGGGTTTTTACATGAGTGTACACATACTAACATAGAACTGGGTTTGATGTTCCTTTTTTATAGACTTACTTAGATGTACAATATGCAGAAGGAAATGTTATCATTTTATTTTTAAGTAAAAAAAAAAAAAGTTTTTGTGCTACAAAATCCTTAACCTGTGGTGCTACGTTTAAAGAGAGAATTTCTAGTCCTGGCCAGTTTGGCTCAGTGGTTAGAGCGTCGGCCTGCGGTCCTGAGAGACCCGGGTTCGGTTCCCGCTAAGGGCATGTACCTCGGTTGCAGTTTGTCCCCGGCCCTGGTTGGGTTGTGTGGGTGGCAGCCACTCGATGTGTCCCTTTCACGTCGATGTTTCTCTCTCTCTCTCTCTCTCTGTCCCTCCCACTCTATCTGAACAAAAAATGGAAAATGTCCTCGGGTGAGGATAAAAAAAAATAAAAAAATGACCTTTAAAAAATAAATAAATAAATAAGAGAGAATTTCTAGTACAGCATAGGAAATATGGTCAATAATATTGTAATAATTCTGTATAAGGTCAGTTGAGTACTAAAAATGTCAGGGGGAACACTTTGTAAAGTATATGGTTCTCTAACTAATATGCTGTACACCTGAAACAAATACAAAATAATATTAACTGGAAATTGTAATTGAAATATTATTTTTAATTTTTAAAAATGTAAAGAGAGCCCTGGCCGGTTTGGCTCAGCGGTTGGAGCGTCGGCCTGCGGTCCCGAGAGACCCGGGTTCGGTTCCCGCTAAGGGCATGTACCTCGGTTGCAGTTTGTCCCCGGCCCTGGTTGGTTGTGCAGGTGGCAGCCACTCGATGTGTCCCTTCACATCGATGTTTCTCTCTCTCTCTCTTCCTCTCTCTCCCTCCTGCTCTATCTGAACAAAAAATGGAAAAATGTCCTCGGTTGAGGATTAAAAAAAAAAATGTAAAGAGAGACAGAGAATTTCCGGGGAGAAGTCGCAAAGTAGGTATGAGGAATATTGGGAAGGAAGAAAATGGTCCAAATGAAAAACAGCAATTGCCAATGAAACCAGCTACTATTAAACACCCAGAAAGAACATTTCTAAGCTACAACCAGTGGTCATATTTCTTACAGTAACGTGGAACAGAGTAGCAATGCGCTATCATTTCTCAGACACATGTAACTATCACTTGTCTTAGAATATAATCAGCTAATTTAAAGTATCATATAAATATACTGTTGCAGACACATTTATGGTATTCAAGGCAAACCAAGAATCCTCAGAGAGGAGGGAAATCTCCAAAGCACGTGGACAATTTTTTCTTATTAAATATTGAGTGCTTACTAATTATCAATGATCGTGCTAAGTAGATGCGGTATTGACTAAACCCATGGAGGAAACTTTGCAGAACATCGTTCATGCAGAGAAAATGATGCCTACAAGTTTCCTATGTATCCCTTTGGTCAGACTTGACTGTAAATCAAACAATGAATACAAAGTGTCTTTCGCAGACAGGACCTGCTGATGCTTTATTTGTGCAGATCAAAAAGCTGCAATTAGCTAGTTCATCACTTTGTTTTTTTGTTTGTTTTTTTTCTTTTGTTTTGTTTTTTATCCTCACCCAAGGACATTTTTCCATTTTTTGTTCAGATGGAGGGGGAGGGAGAGAGAGAGAAATATCAACGTGAAAGGGACACATCCAGTGGCTGCCACCCGCATGACCCAACCAGGGCTGGGGACAAACTGCAACCAAGGTACGTGCCCTTAGCAGGAACTGAACCCGGGTCTCTCTGGACCACAAGCCAATGCTCTAACCACTGAGCAAAACCGGCCAGGACTAGTTCATCACTTTGAAGGTAGGTCCCCAAAAGGAGCAATTTAACTATTTTCGGCTTTATCTTCCTGGGGACAGATGGCCTTATTTCATTTTTTTTTATAAGGGTCAATTGACACACAACATATTAGCTCCAGGTGTACAGCATGATGAGCTGATATCTGCATATACTGTGAAATCACCACATTAAATCTAGTTAACATCTATCACCACACACAGTTACAGAATTTTCTTTTCTTGTGATGAGACCTTTTGAGATTTACTGTCTTAGCGACTGTCAGATAAGCAATATCGTATTATGAACTATGGTCACCACGCTGTACATTACATCCCCATGGCTTATTTATCTTATAACTGGATGTTTGAACCTAATTACTTCCTTCAGCTACCTACCCCCTTGCTTCCGGCAAACAACATGTTCTGTGTATCTATGAGCCCTGTATTTTGTTCTTGTTGTTTTAAGATTCCACATATAAGTGAGATCATATGGTATATGTCTTTCTCTGTCTGACTTATTTCACTTAACATAATATCCTCAAGGTCCATCATGTTGTTACAAATGGCAAGATTTCATTCTTTTTATGGCTGCATAATATTCCATTCATCCAAGGATGAACACTGGGATTGTTTCAGTATCTCGGCGATTGTAAATAATGCTGCAATAAACATGGGAGAGACGCATAGTTCCTTCTTTTATTATTTCAGTCTAGCAAATAAAAAGAAATGATAACTGCTGTTGTCAATGTTTTTCACAAACCAGGATTTCCTACACTCACCTGCCTTGCAGCCCTTCACCCCCATAGCTGAAAGTCACAAAATATGTTACTTCCTTTGTCTTTTCAGTATATATTACTTCATGAAATATGCCTAAAAGTCTACAAGTATTTATCAAATGCCTGTCATTAGGTAAGCACTATTTCAGTTACTGGGAATATATGGGGTACAAACACAGGAAAATCTCTGCCTTCATGGAGCTTACATTCTAGTTGGGAAAACAGGTAATAAAGAAATAAGTCAGTAAAATATATGGTAAGTAGGCTACTGCTAAGGCTGATTAAAAAAAATAAAATAATGCAGGCCCTGGCTGGTTTGGCTCAGCAGTTAGCGCATTGACCTGCAGACCAAAGAGTCCCGGGTTCAATTCCAGCCAAGGGCACGTACCTCGGTTGCAGTTCAGTCCCCAGCCCCAGTCAGAGTTATGAGGGAGGCAACCAATCGATGCGTCTCTCACATCAATGTTTCTCTCTCTCTCCCTCCCTCCCTCCCACTCTGTCTGCAGATAAAATGTAAAAATATCCTTGGGTGGGAATTTAAAAAATAAAAAAATAATGCAGGGGAGGGAATAGGGAGAGCCAGGGTAGGAGGTGGCAATTTTAAATAAGGTGGTGCATGAAGATTTCACTGAAATGGGATATTTGGGCAAAGACCCAAGTGGAGTAGAACACAGGGATACGTAGGGGAGACTGCTCTTTCCCGGGGAGGTTTCTCTGCGAACTTGGAGGACTCACAGAGCATGGACAGACTGAGGGTTTCCCATGCTCCCCATCTCGTCAATTCCCAGCCATGAGCTCAAAAAATGTACTGAGTGATTTCCCACTATATTAGGTCACCGACACTTGTGTTTGAGAAAATGACTCAACGATTTGCAAATCCAACTCATCAAATGTGTCATGGTGGATGGTGATAACGTGTGGTCAGTGTTCCCTGCTAGACGATGAGTTGTCAGCCCGATCCAGCTCTGGACAGCTAAGGGTTTCCAACATCTGGTTCCCTGCAGACGGAATCTTGCTCAGTTCTGAGCCATTGAGAGTTACGTCTAGCAAGACTGCCTTACTCACTGATGAGGGTGTCTCAAAACCATCTTTGGACCTGTCTCCACCACGAATGAAGTCTGAGTGAGGCTTCTAACCCACCAGTTTTCAATTTCAGCAACGAACATTGTTCCAGTTATTAAGCTATTGTCTCTCAGCTCCAAACCATCCATCCAGCCCCTACTTTGTCCACAAACCACACATGTGCTTTGCCGGACGCTCCCTACTAGGGCCTCCATTAGGGGGCACTAGAGAGAAGCTTAAAGGCTGGAGAAGGAAGAAGAACGGTGCTCTGGGTTTCTGTCAATTTTGTGGGAGCAGTACTTCCTCACTCCACAGCAGTGCCTCTCCAAGCCAGCAGCTGAATCCAATTAGTAGAGTCCAACCCATCCTGCCCTTCCCTCTTGGCCCACACCAGCACCAGCCAGCCAGGGCCCCTCCCCAGACATCCGATCTGTACTCTCCGAGGCCCCATCTCTGACCTTCTACGTTATAATAATTCCAACATCTTCTCTCTATCCCCCCATCCCTAGAGATGGCAACTGCTCCCTGTATTCATGAGCTCAGGAGACATCTAAAACACATTTCATTTGTCCAGTTCATAATTTTTATATTAACTCTATCTGTTCAAATAACTAGTATGATTTGCCTCCTGACTATTCCCTGACCATTCAGACACATGGAGAAGCTGACGAATCTTAGCTGTTTTTAATCCAACCGCTTGGCTCTTAACTAGATGGGGACGCTGAGCCCCAGAGAAAGTCAGCCCCTCCCTGGCACTTAGCGGCCAGCTTTGAATCTGTACACATGGCCCTGCCAGTCTCCTGGCTCTGAGCCTGGTGTTTTTGCTACCAACCTCGCTGGCCAGGGCACAGGAGGAACTAGAGAGAACAAGGAAGGCTTCTCGAAACGCTGCTGTAGAGGATGAAGATACACCATCACCTTGGAAAAGGGATCATTTTGAGCTCAAGACAGTTGAGAAACAACAGACACCAAGCAAGTCCTCTGTCCTGCCCGGCACTGGCCCAAGAGCAGACTTAAAACTAATCGCCAGACTCTTATCAGCTCAGACACGGCACCAAGAGGAATCTACATGAGAAACATTATGCCCTGTCCAGTTTGGCTCAGCGGTTAGAGCATCGGCCTGTGGTCCAGAGAGATCTGAGT